CCTAATGCTGGTGTGGGGCCTAATGAGTGGTTATTAGGCCATGAAGACCCCATTCTCGTGAATGGACTAATGCCAATTGTAGAATCATAGTTCATTTGAGCTTCAAGTGTGATCTCTTGTTCTGTCTTTCTCTTCCTTTGCCCTGTTATTGTCCGGTGGCACTGCAGGAAGGCCCTCACCAGATGCCAGCCCCTTAATCTTGCAGTCCCCAGCCTCCGGAGCCATGCCAGCAAATTTCTGTCCATTATAAATGTCCCAGACCCAGGGCTTCTGTGATAGTAGCACAAACCAGATCAAGACAGCCGTCTTCTCCCACATTTCTGTCCTGTGCTGTGTGTGCACCTGTAACAGGAGTTGCTACCTCATGTTATTCCAGACGCCGACCGTGACAGCAAGCATTGCGTTCACCCTGACTTTGCGTTTTCTGTTGCTGGAGAGCCAAGCCATGTCCTTTTGCCCAAGTGTCCGTGATGGCAAGAATAGGACCGCATTGCCAGTACCATTCACTGCCTTTGCCTTTGCTCCAGCTGTTGCAGCAACATACCATTTCCTCTGTGGCTGCAGCAGTAGAAATGTATTGTCCATGGTTTTGAGGGCTGGACATCCAGACCAAGGTGCGGTCATTTCTAGACTCCTTGCTGTGTCCTCTCGTGTTGGGGGAGAGAGAAGCAGACAAGGAGAGACGACTCTTTCCTGTCTCACAAGAACACTAACCCCACCATGAGGGCTCCACCTTCATAACCGAAACACCTCCCAAAGACCACACATTCTAATACCAGTACACTGGGGTTAGGGTTTCTACAGAAGAAGGGAGGTATGGCTCATGTAGCACATTTTGTCGCTCAATTTGAAAGCACAACTTGGTGGGACCCGCGTTTCCCAAGCTGTGGGAGGCTGTGAGGGAGTAGGAGGCTCTCGGGAAGAGTGGCCACAAACGTTTCCCTGTGGTCATCCCCCACCCCTGCTTAAAAATCCAGCTGCCTTTTGAGTTCCTCCCTACGTTTCTACAGGGTGGGGATTGTACATCTCAGGAACGTAGCTTTCTCAGTCTTTACACCTTTACTGGGCTTGTGCTACTATAACCGAACACCACAAAGTAGGTCATTTATAAACAATAGGAGCTCATTTGGCTCACAGTTCTGGAGGCTGGGATGTCCAAGGTGAGGGAGAGGGCCTTGGTGCTATGCCATCCATGGGAGCAGGGCAGGGTGAGGGGAGAGAGAGCCAGCTCACCCCACAGAACAGGCATGACCCTGGCTTTACCTCACACCTACTCCAAAGATAATGGCATCGGCCATCCATGAGGGCAGAGCCCTCCTTGATTTAATCACCCTTCCTGGGCCCCACCTCGCAGTGATGCTATATTGGTGATGATGTTTCCAACAAGGGAACTTTGGGGACACATTAAAACCACAGGACCCCATTTCTGATGCTCAAGGATCCCCAGAATACAGACTATCCTTGTGCGTGCTATGGAACTATCCCCAGTAGAGAAGGTGGCCTTTCTGATATGATTCTGTGGATCTTCACTTGTGCCAGGCGTGCTTTAAAAAATATAACAGCAACCACAAAGAAACACGGGCATGGTCTCTCTCGGGGGCTTTTATTCCTTGACGTTTTCCCCTTTGGATCCACGCTTCTGTCCACGGCGGAAGTAAACGGGCGAAAAGCAGTGGGGTAGACCGAGTGCTGCTGCCGCATCAGGGTGGTCTGTCGGCCAAATCTGCACCCCCAGCTCCACCCCTGAGTGACATATTTCTCAGGAGACTTCTCTGTCCTCAACTCACTGACCCCTAGCAGAGTTGTCCAAACCTGTCTGAGTTCCCAGTGAGACAGACAGTTACTGACTGTCAAGGTGGGATTTCTCTAAGCGGGAGGAATTTCTTGCCTCCAAATTTTAAAAGGCAGGTGGTTTTTACAGATAAGCGTAGATGTGTCTAGGATGTTCGTTTGGTATTTGTAACTACATAAGTAACAATGAGAACAATAACCTTGTCTTCATTTTTAATAAAAGCCAATGTAACTTTACTCAGTGCATTGTTCTATTCATTGTTCATCTACTATTATATCTACAAAAAGCATTATCAACGAGGCATTCATATGTAGAAGTAGAATGTATGCGTATTTAATTTCTTAATAATTGCATTTATTGGTGCAATTTAGATATGCACAATGATCACATTCTTTTGTGGGGAATTTGCACCTGCACATGATGTATCTTAGTTCCTCTTTTCTTCCCATTCCCCTCTCCTCTCTTCAATCCCTCCTCCCCCGTTATTTACAAATCTTTATTTTCCATTTTAATCCTTTTTTCCCTCAGTTTTTCTTTCCCTTTCTAGCCCCTCACCCAATTCCCTTTCCCTTTGAATAATTACTTCCTTTTTCACAATATCTGTTACACATTTTGGTTCTTATTTACACTGTAAGTTTCTCATACCAGAGAGACAGTGTGATATTTACACATACGTGTCCAATTTATTTCACTTAGGAGGATGGTCTCAAGGTCCATCCATTCAGCTATAAATGTCTCAAACTTATCCTTGATGGCTGAGTAGTACTCCATTGTATAAAAAGACATTCTCTTTTACCCATTCCTCAATTGATGGGTATTTGGGTTGTTTCTAAGATTTTGCTGTTATAAACTATGCTGCTATGAGTTGCATATATATTACTGTGATATACATGCTTTTAATTCCTTTGGAAAGATACCAAGAAGGGGAATAGCTGAGTCAAATGGTCCCTCTAGTTCTAGTGTTTCGAGGACTCTCTGCACTGATTTCCACAGTGGTTGAACCAGTCTGCACTCCCACCAGCAGTGGAGAAGGGCTCCTTTTTCCCCACAGCCTCTCCAGCATTTGCTACTGGTTAATTTCTTAATGGTAGCCCTTCTCTCTGGAGTGAGATATAATCTCAGAGTTGTGTTAACTTGCATCTCTCAGATGATCAGTGATGTTGAACATTTTCTCATGTATTTATTTGCCATTTGTACATCTTCTGAGAAGTGTCTGTTCATCTCTGATGCCCATTTTTGGGTTGGGTCTTTAAATTTGGGGGGTCCAATTTTTTCAATTCTTTATATCTAATAGATATTAGTCCCAGCTGGGGATATAGCCCAGTGGCACAGCACCTGCCTGGCAAGCACAAGGTCCTGAGTTTGATCCCCAGTAACAAACAAACAACAAAAAAGAACTCTTTCCTCAACTTTAGAGTTTAGTCCTTTGTCTAATGTCAACAACTGGTTAAAATTTTTTTTGCCCTCTCTGTGGGTTGTTTTGTCACTTTGTTGGTGATTTCTTTAATACCGGAAGTCAATCCTTCCTTTCTCCCTCTCTCCCTCCTCCCTCCCTCCTTACCCTCCTTCCTCACTCCTTTCCTTCTGTCTTTCCATTCTTTTTGTAGTATGCTACTATACCGATGCCTTCTCACGGAGCTGCATTCCCAGACATTTTTTTTATTATGAGACAGGGTTTCACTACATCATTACGTTTCCCAGGCTAGGCCCACGCTCATCTTTCTGCCTCAGCCTCTCACAGTGCTGAGATGACAGGCATGTGTCACCACACGCAGTTAACACAGGTGATTCCTAATGAATAAATAGTGAGAGGGAAAAGAATTGATCAAGCCTAAGCGCCTGACACTGATTAGCTCGTTTGTTCATGACAACACGCTCTGAAGTATCTTTAGCTCCATTTATGCATCAGAGGTTAAGCAGCTTGCGCAGGGTCATAGAGGAAATAGTGGAAAGTTAGGACGGATCTCAGGTGGTCTGGCCACAGCACCGGGCTCTAGACCGCATCCGTCTTAATTATACCTCCTGCGTTTTCAAAAGTTTCTTGTTGAGGATAAAAACTGAGCAGGGAGATGACGCAAACTGTTTTCCACTTTGCAAGAGCGCCTCGTCTTCATCTTAAGTAGAGGGAGAAAGGTTGCTGCTCATTGAACACTTGGCTATAAGACCACAGTTGATGTAATCATTGGATAAATTGCATGTTAATGTAACCTAATAACCGAAGGACAATCATCTGGACGACACTTTGCATGAACTTTTCTGCCTCCTGATATGGATAAACTGGGGTTTTTTTATGAGCCAACACTGCATTCTTACATTTGAGCTAGATATCCTATTTATAGGTAGCCATTCCTGGGGAAGATGCAGATGTCACTTTATTTTAATCTTGAGTGCTGTTATGGTTTAATTCCACCTGACAACAGATGCTACACCAAGGTACTTGCTTAGGCTGGTAGCAATGTCTTTGGCAGTTAGATATTTTCTATAACATGTGAAGTTGATGAGCTCCTTTTTATTCTGATCATACATGGAGAGAATGCTTTAATCTGAAGATCTCAGCAGGAGTAGAAATGAATCCCCTTTGTGTTGATTTTATATCTCTTGGTATCTTTGGATGCTTTAAAAATTACCCTATGGAAGGGCTGGGGATTTAGCTCAGCGGCAAAGCGCCTGCTTGGCAAGCACAAGGCCGTGAGTTCGGTTCCCGGTACCAGAGAAAAACCAAAAAAATAAATAAATAAATAAAAATTACCCTATGGAAACCGAAGACAAGCTGGTGTTTGCCCTTGAAGTTCCTGTGACACTACTTTTCCCCAAAAAGCACATTATGTTCCCTATTCCAGGTGAACCAAACATAATGTGTGCGTGCAGTGGGAAGGGAGAGAGAAAGGCAGCCTTTAGGTCCTTGGCAGTTAAACTTCCGGGGGAGAATCGCTGGGTGCACTAGGTCAGCCATGGACCCCAACCGTGAGCCCCAGCTGGACACAGTTACTGGGTATGTCAGGTGGATCTCACTAGGAGGACGTTTTCCCCATGAAACCATCGCAGCGTTCCAGGGAGCTGCAATGCGTGAGTGCCCTGGATTTGACTCTTTGCCTATTTCACCTTACAGTGGGCGTGTTTGCCTGTCACGCAGCTGCTTTGGATTCGGCTTTGCGTTTGCGGTAGTAAGCCACAAAGCCGCCAACCGTCCTCTCTGCTTTCGTTTCAGGCGACACGGGCAGCCATCACCCAGCACTGCGCGGACCTGGGGAATCTGCTGGGCAAGGAGAACGACGTGGCCCTCATCATAGACGGCCACACCCTGAAGTACGCGCTGTCCTTCGAGGTCCGCAGGAGCTTCCTGGACCTGGCGCTCTCCTGTAAAGCCGTCATATGCTGCAGGTGGGGTGGCGCCGGTTGTCTGTGCTGCCGCGCCTATGTCCCGTGTTTCCGTGAAAGAGATCAATGCGTGGGAATTCTTGGCTTCCAGTTTTGTATTTTAAAATGAAGCACTAAGCAAAAATAGGATTTTTTTTTTTTTTTGCCTGGCGCTTCACAGATTTTGTGGAGGGCACTTTGTGGCTTTTACGTCTTGGTTTGGTTTGCTGTCTTCTGAGAGACAAAAGCAGTGGAGCCAAGGCTTCCTGCAGTACCCACAGTGGGGAGTAGACTTCAAACACGCTGCCTCAGGCTAAAGTGAGCCGCTACCAGGGTCTTACCTAGGTGGCCGTTGTCCCGGCGTCTGAGCTGGCTTCTGAGACCTGGAGGCTCTGGTGCTTGTTCCCTGATGCCTCCTGGGCATTCTTTTCCATTAAGGAGGAGCTTTGATTGCGTCCCACTTTCTATGTTAGGTTCCAACCAGAAGTCTCTGTTCCTTCTTCATGGAGTCTGAGAGGGTGTTCATAGGACATCGTTACATTCTATTGACCACTGGCTCCCGTTCTGATACGGATTTGAAAGTCAGACAGAATTATAAAGAAAATTTGTTCCTGCAAAGACGAGTGGCCACTAAAGGCCAAGAACACGAGCGTAGCCAGAAGGTCGGAAGAGTGGTGGGGAAATTCTTTGTTGCCTTCGTAGTTTTCCCTGGGGGGTGTCAATGGTGTGAAGTTTCTGAGTGGGCGGGAACTTGGGATCTATGAGCTCCTCAACACTGAGGGTTGTCTGTCCCACCTCGGGGCCTGCAGTCATCCTGAGTGGTCACTCCTCCCCACAGCCACCGCGTTGGTCAAGGAGCCTCCCTGCGTGCTGGCAGACAGAAATAAACAGAAAGATCATAGGGAGGTCCGGTGAACTGTGTTTCAAAGCGAACATGCTCAAACCTTATAAAGTTTTTCAAAGGGGAATCAAAATGCAACCGTCTGGATTTTCCAGGGCGAGCCAGGAATGCCTTCAGGCTTTATGGGAACATATTCTTCTGTTGCCAGGTGTTTGATACTACAGAAAAACATCTTTTCTCCTCTTGCTTTGGCTGTGTTCTTGGTGTTTTGTGTGTGATACAAGGCTGTGCCTAAAATCACCGTGAGTAGTTCACTCTGCAATTGGCACAGAAAGAGGAAATTTCAAATTAAATACTGTGTCTGCAAAATACAAGCATTAATTGGAAAAGCGAATCTGGGAAGGTGACTGTTTTCCTGTTCTCAGGAATGTTTCTTGGCTGATTTCATACTTAAGATGAAAAAAAAATCAACATGTACTTAAAAGAAAAGCACTCATACACTTCGTGTGTACTTTCTGCTCAGTGAGTGTTTAAACGTAAGCTAAATTTAATATGTGGCTTCAAACACAAGCTCAACCTTATCATTTTTCATATTTACAACGTAGGAGTTGTAAGAGTTACCCCTTTCTCTAATCACAAGGAAAAAACTTTAAATTTCTGTGAAGTAATTATACATTTTCATATCGATATTGATTCAGAAGTCCGTGAATGCCATATAAAAATGGATAAGTATCTTTAAACTGAAGCAGGATTTCAGGCAGTAGAAAGGGGAACAGTGTAAGAATTTATGAAGTGTTTTGCTGAAGTTAGGATCAAATAGTTTTTCTAATTATTCACTGCTGTCCTCAAATATTTTCTGTGTAGTTAAAATTGTAGAAAGAGGGCTGGTGATATAGCTCAGTGGCACAGCACCTGCCCGGCAAACACAAGGTCCTGAATTTGAGTGCTAGTATAAAAAAATCATAGAAAGATTGTAATGGAGTCGGTAAAATAGTTACCAGGTAGTACTCTCCCGAAGTTTACTGCTGTAGGTGGCGGGGATTTCGGCATAGTAATTCTTCAGGTGTTAACTGGTCGAGCTAAGATTTTGATTATGGGCTTGGTGTTTGCATTGTACATTCTTAGGTGCCATGAGAGAGCAAAGGGAAAAGACATGCTCTTTGCCCATAAGTGTAAATACCAAATAAGTGTGTTATAGTATTGGCCTTCTTTGCATTTTGTGTATGTCCAAGTGCCTAGGAATGAGGTCCTCAGTGAGGCCAATGTACCTGAGTGTCTTCTTGCCATATGCAGTAGACTCTTCTAGTTCCTTTTTTGATTTCCAGTTCCTTTCAGTATTTGCTGTTGATGGCTTCTCCCTTGACGGGTTCTCTTGGTGGGCATCCCTGTTTTACCATGTTCTTTACAGGCTTTGACAGCTTCTGGTATGTTGTTTTCACAAGTTTTACTTCGGACCCTGTCATGTTCTCACTTCATGTCTTCTCTTTATGTTTTCCATCTGTTCCTACAGCCTTGTCCATCTTATACATTAGTGATTCTTAATACCGCCTTGACACAGAATCTTTGGAGAACTTCCCAAAAGCTATTTCTCCCAAAAAGTTGAATATAAGGTACCATATGACCAAATAATTGCATTCCTACATATGTACCTCTGCCCAAATTAAAAACAGGTACTCAGGATAATATTTGGACACGCATATGGTATAGCAAAAGGTAGAAAAAAATCCAATGTTCATCAATTCATAAATTGCTAAATAAAATGCAGCATACCCATAGGATGGAATAACATTCGGTTGTAAAAAGGAGGGCAGTAGATTTACATATTACAATATGGATGAACGTAGAAAGCCCTCTTAGTGAAAGATACCAGTCACAAAAAAGGCCACATCTTGTCTGGTTTGATTCAAATAAAATATTCATAACAGAGAAGTCCATCGAGCCAGAGAGCAGGGGCTGGAAATGAGGCATGCTTGCTTAAGGGGGGCAGGAGTTCCTTTGGCGGCTGATAAAATGGTGTGGAACCGGATGCAGGAGATGGACGTGCAGCGTTGTGATACCAAGTGCCCCTAAGTGTTTCGCTTTTAATGATCAATTTTAGGTCATGTGAACTTTACTTTCAAAATAAACAAATGTATAAAATAATTCAACTATTTAACTGAAATTTTGTTGAATTAAAAAAATAAAATATTTGAATGAAATATATTGGTCAAATGAAAATAAATAAAAGATTGATTCCCAGGCCCTTCCCTGGAACAATTCAATCAGAACTCTCAGAACCTTAGAAACACAGTCGAGTCTGATGAACAGTTGGGGTTGGGGACAGTGACCCCCCAGCTGGTTTCCCGTGGTGGCGCCTCAGTTGCACTCCATATCCATAGGTCCGTGTGTGTCCAGGACTTCTACAGGGCCACATTCAAGGGACACCTGAAATTCAAAATGTATCTGCAGAATTTATCACAGGCCTCTGCCTGCCTCTCTTCTGTGTGTTCACAGGTCTTGGGTGTCCACCGTCCTGTGGATGCTCTACTGTCCTGAGATGGCAGAACCTTTCGATGGCATCAGTCACCATGACTTTATAGGAAGGGACCTTAGGAGACCAAGCCAGATAAGCAGATTATTACATTGACTTCAAAACTTCCAGTCTTTTCATTGATTGATCCTTGATATGTATCATCTCTGTTTTTATCTAAAAGGAAGTATAGGTTTCAAGAAATTATCTTGCCCTTACCCATGGCATCAGCTGGTAATGGAAGCATTAGCATTTCGTCCTAGAGCCCAGTAATGCCAGGACCCGTACTTACCTAGCTGGCTGCGTCAGCTGATCCAGTCCTGTTGATGCTGCAATTCATAGGGAAGTTTCTGCTTTTGCCCTGTTTTTCAGTCTAAACGGTATGTTTAGACCCATTTGGCATTAAATCTTAGAGGATTTGTTATTCTCCAAATGGGATAAAAGTCATGTAGAAAATGTGTAAAGCATTTTCAGTAAGTACAAGAAAGAGTTCTCTGTTTTCTCTTCCCCTCTTTCTCATTTTTCCTTTTTCTTTGAGCCTCTTTATTTTTGTCAAAATGGAGATAAATTTTGTAACACAGACTATGGGGGCAGGGGTTGACCTCTTGAGAATATTCAGAAATCTTAAGCCACTGTGTCTCGTCAGGAAAAGAGTCATGAAAGGCTCATCAGAGTCCCCCACGTGAGGAAGCTGGCGACGGCCCCGCCACCGACCCTGCACTTCCAGATGATGCTGGTGGCCCCAAGTGCCGCCTCACTAGTGGACATGATTTACAGCTCTGCCTCCCAGGGCAGAAGATGGAGTAGGAGGAAAACGCCACAGCAGGGATTTCCACTGGGTGTGCAAATTAAGGCTTGCAGAAGGCATCATTTATTTTCTCAGATGTGTTTAGACTTGTGTCTCTCAAGGTAGATTCAAAGATAAACATGCAAAAACTTATGATGCTGTGAAAGTAAAGACATTAAGAGAAAAAGGCAGTGGGCTCGGTGGATGCTTTATAAAAGCTTTGGGGTTTATATTCCTAACTCTAGGAATGATTTATCTTTCTTGTAAAAAAAAATTAGAAAATACAGATAAGAAGAACGAAAATGACATTCACAGTGCTACCAACTCATGATTTGCTTTAAGAACTGATGTTAAAATGTAGATCTTTCTGGAAATTTTTTAATCGGAAGGGGTGTCATATTGGTCACAAGGTGCAAGTCAAAACATTATAAACAGTTTCTGTCAAATAATGTTTTGCAAAGCTGTTCTATTGTAGGAAAAAATAATGAGTTTAATCCATTTCTAGTTGATGGATATAAATCATCGGGTTGATGATTTTTTAATTGTAAATAGTATTGTGAAGAAGGTTTTCATGGCTGACTCTTTATAAAGACACTTGATGATTTCCATAAAATAATAGGGAATTCACAGGGAAGCAACAAAGAAGTGTGCAGGCTACGGTCACACCACCCTGAACGCGCCCGATCTCGTCTGGTCTGGGGAGCTGAGCAGGGTCGGGCCTGGTTAGTACTTGGATGGGAGAACAAACATGTGTGCCATCTGGCTGTATTTTTCATTAGAGATGTAAAGGCAGTGGACTTAGAGTAAGTCAGAGATGGTCAGCCGCTTGTCCCCACTGGGACAAACCTGTTTCCCTCAATTTAGTAGTGGAGTTTGTACTCTGACCC